TTTAAAAAATGGCAATCCCAGGAAAAGATTCTCATTAGATATAATATACACAATTATTCTCTTCTGCCATAACTATTTAATTTGGTTTCACTGATATTCTTCCTCCAGACCAAATCAAGCAAGAAGTTCTCAAGATGATAAAATGCACAGATATATTAACCTTTTGTAAAACATCTATTCTTCTTCTACACTGGGTTTTTATTTTGTTCTTACATACTTAACCATTATTTGGATTTTGTGTGAAGGTCTCTCTTTTCTTTCTTTGCTCTTAAGAGGGCAAGTTAATTTGCCCTAAACCTTTGAATTACATACCATGTGTATCGGTCTGTTAAATCAAACCTTCCAAACAATAAAATAGCACAATTGTAAATGTCACTTTAATTTTAGTAGAATTATTTATTTGCGGTCATACTTTTTTTCATTTACCAAAGAAGAAGGGGTTGGAAAGCAACTTGGTCACAATTTTTGTTAAATAATTTGCACAGACTAGGAAAAGATGGTGCCAAAATCATTTATTGGTGTACTGGCTTTTAAAAATTCAGATAAACTCAGAATTTGTCAGTCCTAAAATCTTTCTAGTAAGAGACATGTTACTGGAAGAGGACACAGTCAATCATCTGCCTTAAGGAGAAATATTATATTTAACCCTTGTTATTACTCCTGCTACTGCAATATAGTATAAACACATTTTCCAAAATGTAGTTAGGTCACCAGACACAAGACTCAACATTACATTCATTATATTTTAGTTCTAGATGCTACCTTCTGGTTTTAATTAGTACATGAAAATCTAGTTTTCTGATAGAAAACAATTAATTTTGTTTGCATTGGAAACTAGAAAACGAAGATAAAAGTCACAATATTGTTACTTCCTTTAGCCAGTACATTTGCAGTACAGGTAGTCCTTGGCTTATGACCATAATTGAGCACAAATTTTCTCTTGTTAAGTGAGACATTTGTTAAGTTTGCCCCATTTCATGACTTTTGTTGCCATAGTTGTTAAGTGAATCACTGCAGTTGATAAGTTTAATAACCCCAGTTGTTAATTGAAACTGGCTTCCCACTGATTTTGCTTGTCATGTCACGAAAAGTGATCATATGACCATGGGACACAGCAAAGATCATAAATATGAGTCAGTTGCCAACCACTTAAATTATGGTCACACGACCATGGGGATGCTGCAAAAGTTGTAACTATGAAAAATGTCATAAATCACATTTTTCAGTGATGTAACTTTGAATAGTCACTAAATGAACTGCTGTAAATTGAGGACTACCTGTATTATGTTTTTTCTTCATCTTCATTGCTGGGGAAATGAAAAAAAACAGTATTGTACTACAAATTTTGTAAATCCCTATTCTCTTCTTTCAGAATTCTTAATCTAGAAAGGAAACAAGATGGATCATATCCAATGTAGCGAACTATTCATAAAAATGTGGGTGTAAGGCCGTTTTTATTTGCTTTTTTTATTTTAGTTTGGAAATCCTGCAGTTATGTGGTCACTTTATTTGTTATGTGGTAACAAATAAAGTTTACCTACACTTGTAGAGCCATATGGGAAATTAGAGAAGAAACAAGTGTGTTCTGACAAGTGTGCTCAGGTATCACTGAACTGAAGCTTCTCAAATTTGAGTTCAATTTTTCTACAGGTGTCTCAGAGAGAAATAATGAATGAATGCATATAGAACAAACATCCTTTAAATATTAAGAGTTAACAAATTCATGTTTTTTAAAAACCCAGCATTCTTTATTTCAGGATTCAGTCCAAATCAGTAACATTTCCAGAATTTTCTACATTGAAGCAAACTCTCCCACATAATTGATGGTGAAGCATTTGTGTGCTCTTGTACCTCCTCTGAATCATCTGGTACAAGACATTATAGAGAAGGATATTTGGCTAGATAGAAATCCTGCCTAGCTGCCTCTATATTTCTGTTCCTCCACAAAGGAACAGAACAAAATATGCAGTGTGGTAGAAATGCATGCTGTATGCTACATAAACAATTAAGACATTAATATACATATTAATCTACTTATTCTACTTATTTTATTTTTAAAATGGCAACAGATAAACTATATTATAATTCTAAAATACAACAGCACTGTAGACTGGACAACAATGAATCCAAACAGTAGGAAAATTAAGGGTATCATGGATGCTGTAATCTGCATCCAGAAATTGCACCAAAATCACTGGGCAAAAAAGGTACCAGCAACATTAAGCATTACATTATTATTAGAAATTATGAATCTGAGCTACCCATTTCACAACTGAAGTTTTTGACAGAGAAGTTTGGTGGGGAAATGGGAATCCAAATAATTTTCTTCAAATACTGAATAAACAGATCGCTGTCTTTTCTTGAACTAAAAGCAAGAAAACATAAATGGGAATAAAAATAAAGGTAGAAAGAAGTTCACTATGCAAATAATGTGTTCATTTTATATAAAGATGTTATGATTTTTCTTCCATTGCAAAGAAACTTGATTTCCCTCTAAATGCATCTCCCTTCCCTTCCCTTCTTAATAAGCTTAGATGGCTTGGTGAATCAAAAACCATAGATACGGTTTTTTTCCTATTCAACTGATTTCTTCTTTCCATGATTTGAAGTATCAATCCTAACAATATCTGGTTAGCATGTCAGAACAATGAAGGAGGATCTTCTTTCAGAAGGGAAATGGCTGCTTCTGGCTGAGTGCCTATTTACTTCCTTTAAAAAAAACAACAACGATTGGGCTATGTTCACTTTTCCATTCGGAAGGGCAACTATATATTGCTCAAAGAAAACTAACAGTGTCTTGGAACAATTGCATAAATTGTTTTAAAAATCTCTTGCAGCACACACATGTATAAATAATTGCAAGTACTCTTAAAACAGTTTACACCAACTTCTTTAGGATAAATATCGCAAGAGTGGATAATATCTGACATTTACGTTCATTCTAGGCCTCTGAGAATGAAAGCCTTGGACAGGTAAAGATCAGGTGTTATTTTTAAAATTATTTAATTGTTTTGATTCAGCCATAAGTTATTTCTGAAAATAATCCCCCAAGAGCTCAAAAACAAAATTTAAATTTATTTTATTCATGTTGAAATTGTTATTATCCATCCAATACACTGAAATCAGCACATTTTTCATCACTGCTAGTAAGTTCAATTTTTTAACATTAAAAATTGAACTCGGGTAGAAATAAACTGATTTTAAGTCAAGTATTACAAACGTAAACACAACAAGTAAGATTATCCTGCTTGCTGTCTTGTAGATATCTTTCGTAATCCTCAACCCTAGTTAACAGGAGACCATCACATTGGGCAGTACATTGGCGTCAAAGAATGAGTCACAATGTATTATCACATAATTTATTAGCTAGGATGTATTTATCTTGATAATCACTCATTTAATGAGAACTCAGGCTAGGGTATATAACAGGGTTTTATCCTCAAAACAACCTCATAAGGAAGGTTGGGCTAAGAGACATTGGTTGACCCCAACTTTGAGCAGGAAATTGGACATTGCCTTGTCAGAATCCTACATGACATTGGAAAGATATGCTAGGCGTATCTTGATGACCCTGATCTTCTTTTATGTCCCTTAATTGCCTACAAGTAGGGTTGGGCTGCTGGGCATTCACAGGGGTTCGAGAAAGCCCCTAGCTAAGATTCTGTGCAGTTTAAAGAACCTCCAAATCCCACTCCTGGCTGGCCCCACCTACCCCTCCCCTCCCAGGAGTTCCCACATGGCCCGTTTTGGATGCAGGTAAGTGCAGGGTGTGTATGGAGGCTCAGGGAGGGTGAAAACGGGCCTCCCAGAAGTTTGGGAAGGCCGGAAATGGACCTGTTTCTGGCTTCCAGAGAGCCTCCAGAGCCCAGGGAGACCATTTCTGCCCTCCCGGAGACTTGAGGTGAACATATGGAGCCCGGGGAGGGAAAAAATGCCCCCCCCCCCAATGGTGCAGGAGGCTGACTAGGCCACACCCACCATGGCCAACCTCACACAGCAACCGGGCAGACAACCCTTTGCTAAAATTTTTGAAGCCCATCCCTGCCCACAAGGTGTCAATCTGTTCATTGCTCAAAATTGCCTTTAAGATTACCAACCCTATGGTAAGCATTCATCTTCATAGAGAACACTATACTTCCCAATAATGGTAACCCACACTTCTAGAGAATTCCAGGCACACAGATCTTTAAATAAATAATGCCATTTCTCAGTTGCGTCATGTCATCAGAGGCATGAAATTAAGCTAGTTATGCTTAACCTGTTAATAACCCTGAGAGAGGGAGAGAGAAAGAGAATTTTCTTTTGGCAGTTTAAATCTCCTTAAATGCATCTATTTTCTCCGAGCTTTTATTTAGCTAAAAAAAAAAGAGTACTATAAATATTCTGTGCATTAGAACAAATAAAAAGCAAGATGTTTAGTTTTTTTATGTGCTCCAATCTTATATCAATGACTATAAAAGCTCTGCAAAACTGGTAGCAGAAATAAGGTTTTTTGATATATCATATTATATACAGAATATTATCCTCATCTATAAGAACCATCACATCTGAATATGTGAATTAGTCTACTGCCTTTCTTTTAAATCCATGGCATTGACTATCCATGCGAGTGGGAAAATATCCAAGATATGTTGGAGAAGGAACACACAAATACATCATTAGACTCAATATATCAAGATCACATTTCAATTGTCATTCATTTATTTAACAACAAACCACAGACAAGTTTTGTAAAGTTAGATCTGCAGAAATATTATATATAAAGAGCAAGCACAGCATTTCAATCAGGTAACTTTGACAACCAGAGAATATCATACCAGTAGCAAAATCAAACATTGGACAAATATGAGACTTAATGTCTTAATCTCATTACAATTGCTTTCATCACCTTTTGCAAAAGAACCCCAATCAAAGAATCCTAAGCAGTCAACTGATTTTGATAAGCTGACATCTAAAGATAGACATTTGCTATTGAAGTTTAAACACTGCAGTCTTGTTACCTTTGCAGCAAGTTTGCTCTGGGGATTCCTAAACAAGGTGGTTTTGGCGGTAAAAAAACACTCCTCCAAGTCGTCATCCAAACTACAGTAGCCACTACTCATGCTGTTATGGACAGTCATCTGAGGAAGGGTTCCGAGATCTTCAGAACATGTCAACTCCAGGAAGCCAGACAGCCAGGTACCTCCGAGTCTCAGCTCACTGCAGCAACAGTGCAGTTTCTCAATCGAGTTCCTGTGCAATCAACAGTGAGCACAGTAGTTTCACCTCCTCCAGCTTCCACTTGCCATGCCTTGTAACAGTTTGTTCTCATCAGCAAATCAGATAATGGGGTTGGCTTTTTTCTTTCTTTCTTTTAATAAAATAAGCAAGCAAGAGTGAAACAGAAAAATCTTGCTAGGAGAAACTTTCTTTTCCTCCACCATCAAGCTCCCTTGTTTGGCTGTTTTCCAGAAGCAAACTGGGCGCCAGGACCTAAGGGAGTTTTCTTCTGCTCTTGACTCACAAACTTGCTCACCATCTGTGCGGCTTCGTTGGTCTCTCTGCAAGCCCAACTAAGACTAATTGCGAGAGCAGTATCGCCTTCCTCTCCACCCCCACCCCCACTCTTTCCTGCTTCTTTTTCTCTTGAACCACTTCCTCTTGCAAGATTTCTGACACAGTTGTTAAAAGCATTGACAGTATCTCAGTTGATTTTGAGCGTCACAACTTGGGAAAGGAAGAAAGAGAGAAACAGAATTATACTACCACGGGGGAGGGAATAGTCTGCTTCTTGCTCTCCTGTATCCATAGCAAACCTTTATCAAAGGGAGGGGCAGAGATGAGAGTTGCTGATTAAATATGCATTACTTGACGTATGCTCCCAGGTAAACATCCTAAGACAGGTTTAAGGCATTTCTGATTGTAGTGAAAAGCACTCCCAAATTCTATGTATTCATTCTCTGCTCAGCACCTATTTTAAGAAGTTCATAAGAGAGAGATTGGGGTGGGGGGAGAGGGAGAGGGAGAGAAACTAGTGGGGAAAGAGTATTGCAGAATATTGATGAGATTCCACAAGGACTTCCAGAGAATTTTTTAAAGTTGGGCCTCTACTGGAGATGGTCTGTGACACCTGTTGTGATAAGCATCCTTGTATATTTCCTTCTTCATATATTTCAATATATCTGACAGACATACATGGTAAAAGGAAAGAAAGAAAAACAGATTCCCTAGCAACATTTCGATGCAGGAACCCATCTGTATTCTGTGCTAATTTTAGAACAGTCAGAAAGATTTTTTTTCAGCATTCTTTGCTCCAAGAAGTGACTGCTTTTATCATAACCTTAGTAATCATCATCCATCAGAGGTTTTTTTAAAATTATTTGTCACCGTTATGTTAGAAGCACTTTGCCACAATAATTTCAACGTTAGTCAAAAAGCCCAGAATATGTTTTTGTAATTTCCTTTGATTCCTCTAGGTTTAAGACTGAAATGCTGATCTTGGCTACCTTCTTCCAGTTTCTAGGTTCCAAGCTATCTTTCTCCAAGAATACTAATATTTGCTTGGAAAGAAAGTGCTCTTCAAACAATTTTCTTTGCTACTAACTTGTCCAATGCCTTGCTTGTAAAAATGCATTTTAAAATCTGTTCAACTCCATAGATTTTATTCTCACAATCTGTTTCCTTTCTGTATATTACCTTGCACATCTGAACCTGCTAAATTAACTATAGCTAAGGCACATATGCTTTTTAAAATAATATTTGTATTCCCTGCCAAAGAATAATAAAGTTTTAAAGCTGCAAGATTAGCAACTTTGGTTGGTTTGAGCAATATACTACGATAACTGACTTGTGGTACAGAATACAAATATGATACAGGGACTTTTAAAAAATTAACATTCAAATGAAACCATATTTCATTATCCATTATATCCAACATATATAGTCAGTTAGAAAAGACACAAGGGAGATTGGTTTTATATGTGGTAAGTACAGCAAGGCTACTTACCTTATGAAAAAGATGGGAAAATAAAAAAAAACTACCTAAAATGGACATTGGACTAACAATGACAAAACTAACAGAAATGGCAAAAATGCTCTTTTTGATGAGGGATAAAACTACACGTACTTTCTTAAAAGATTGGAAGTTCTTCATCAACTTTTTGCTGAGAATAAAGTCAACAAAAATGACTTGATGATTTATGCATTTGCTGATTGAAAAAGGCTGAATATGGGAAGAAGTGAACTATATAATATAACCTTGATGGGAACATATTCTTCATATTATTGTCTAGAGCAATAGATAAGCATCCTGCTTATTCAGGACTCCCAGGTTTGCAACAGAGTTGGAAAGGAGATCTTCTAGCTATTCCAACCTTCTGCTTAGGAAACCCTATACCATTTCAGACAAATGGTTGTCCAATCTCTTTTTTAAAACTTCCATTATTTTTATTTAGTTCCTAACCCTTAGGAATAATCCCAAGGTGCTTTTTCAAAAGGCAACTGGACTTTGTTTAGGAAAAACTTTGGGACAAGCATGATCTGGATGACTGAGAATCCCCATAGATCTTGGGAATAATAAGCCTTCCCAACCAGGTGGCCTCCAAATCTGGTGAATGAGAGCTCCCAGAATTCCCTATCAGCAAGGCCAGTATTAAGAGACAAAGCCATCCCAGGAAGGTTTGGGTGGGTAACTGAAGGGTCTGAAAGAAGCAGCACTGAATTGCAAGTTCTACCATTTTTGTGCATTCATCATGATATTATATGAACTGGGTGCAATGGAATGATGCTGCTTTTGTTATTCTGACAAAATCACTGGATTCCCCAGTCACATCTATCTGGAGGTTGGGAAAGAATATATCATGTGTGCTTCATAATATTCACAGCTTCAGAATCAATTCATCTCTTTATAAGTCATTGCAAGCTTTGATAAGGTTAATAACTCTGACTGGCATAATATTTTTTTTTAAATGCCAATGAATATACATACCTGAAAGACCAAATCTACTCATTAAAACTACTTACACTCCTGCTCTGATAGTTCCTTACCCAAATTGCAATGACTTTTGAGATTTTCAAATTTATTCATCCCTAGAATTGTAGCCAAAACAGGTTTTGTTTTGGTAAATATTGAACCAATAAACACCACAGTTTTTTCTGTCCAAAAGAAATTTGACAGTGACAACATAACTTAAAAACTAAACAACAACCCAAAAAAAAACTGGACAGAGGAAGAAGATGTATAATCTACAGTAAAACAAAGTTTATCAGCAGGATAAGGCTATATTTTTACCTTGCCAGACACCTAAATATTTTAAAAATTAGCATGGAAGAAAAGGGTGGAACTCAAAACAGTATTTCTTTCTTCACTGAGTAACATTTGATTAAAACTGTTTGTGGACAGAAAGATGAACAAGTCACAGTCTTCTTCTAAGCAAACTTTACTACATGACACTAGTGATTTTTATCAGTTCACTTCATGATTTTATACACTAAAATCTTGATGTAGCTAGGTTTGCCTTAATGTGCATTATCATATCTCAAACATTTATGCTTAAATTGGCACCATCTATGTTATTTCCAAAAAAACATAATCACATTTAAACTTGCATTATGAATTTAAGATTAATTTACAATAATAACGTGTGTAACTTTATCATGTAAAATGTAGAGTCATTATCCTCCAAAACTATAAATAGCAGCTAAGAACCATACTTTCAAATGTATTTTGATGCCTGCCATTGAACAAGGCTATTTACAAAATCTAAATCCTTGAAAACTTTTATTTGATAGACATAAAAAAAAATCTCAAAGAAAGTATGGCAGAGGTGATCATCTCACTGCCCCACTGGTTAATCTGAATCATTATTGTATTCCTCTAAAAAGCATTAAAAAACATGCAGCACATAACCTTTGCACATTTATGCCAAGTGGCAATCAAAAATTACAGCATGTTTTCTAGTTATCAGCACCTTTGGACCAGTTTAATCTCTTACTAAGTGGCAGATTTCAACAGTCATAGTTACATAAATACCTAGATTGAGTCGTATGATAAATGTATTTTCCCCCAACAAGATGCAGCAGTCCTGTTCATCTCATAATTCAGGTGACAGAAAAGGTTTTCCAAGTTTACTACAATTTTGCAAGTATGAAAAAACCTGTCTGCCTGCTTTTTTTGAGCACTGCCCAATAATCTTTGTTCCAGCATAATACTATCCTTAGTGAGCATGTGCTCTCAATTAAATTAATTTGCCTTTCAGCTCCCCCAAGTGCTATTGATGGGTAAAACATTTAGTTATACAGGTGTCTGTATCCTGACTGTCAGGATGGGAAGAAGGAAGGGTTCATGCACAGAAGCTAAATCCACTATAATTATAGAAACTCTTAAAACATTGCTAGATATAACTGCCTCCAAGTAACTCCTCAACAGAAGCTTAATCAAAAACAAGCTAGCAGACTATCAAAAACAGACCATCAAGGTAATTCACAGCACCATTACATTTAATAAAAATTTCTGAATAGTAGCTTTCTAGATTAAATGGTTTACTCTTCAAATCAGCTAAATATAAATTATATAAGATACATAAACTGGTACAGCATCAGAAATTGATTCAGTCTTGTTATCGCAAGTTCATTTTCACAAAACACTGAGGAAGAAAGGTCTCCCTGTCATTGGATCAATGTTGTTTAAACCTATAGGAATTATTCTGACTGAAAAAAATTACTTACTCCTTTTGAAAGGCCTTACAAAACAGCATACAATAAATGTATTTGAACTTGATCATTTTTTTAGTTTCACTGACAACATTTTCCCAGTGAATAATATTTTTTCATATAAATACTCTGGAGAGATTGTGCTTTAATGTTTAACATATTTATTTTTCCTCAAGATCACATATGTATAGCCCAAAGTATTTTTGGGTGGGAGTGAAAGCTGTAATTTGTTTTTTGTGCCTGGTTCATTTCTTTTTTAACTTTGAACTTCAATAATGTTTGTTCAAGTTTTAACATTCTACAATGTCTACTGCAATTTTTCTTTAAAAGAAAAAAATGTGGGGTCTTTTAGAAAAAGGTAAATAATACTACAAGAACAGTAATTAAGATTAAAATAAAAGAACCTAAAGTTTTTAGTATATCTTGGGGTGAGCTTATACTATATATAAAGTTACCATCAAACACCCAAACCTGTCGAGGGTTGCATTCCCTTAGAACAGCGGTTTCTAACTTTGGCAACTTTAAGCCTGGCAGACTTCAACTCTCAGAATTCCCCAGCCAGCTCTGCTTTCTGAGAGTTGAAGTCTGCCAGGCTTAAAGTTGCCAAGGTTGGAGACCCTCGTGTGATATTCAAGTCACATAAATCTTGAAGTCTACATATCATAACGTTATTGGGGTTGAAAAACATTTCCGTAGACATTGTTGGTGTAAAAAGGCGGCCTGAAGAGGGAAGAAGAAGTAAAACAAAAGTATCTTTTTCTTTGTCTTTCTACTGCAACCTTTCCTCTCCAGGCTTTTCCCCAACATACTTTTCTTACTAGAAAGATTTTGAAGTAATCTTCTGTTGTTGTTGTTGTTGTTGTTGTTGTTGTTGTTGTTGTTGTTGTTG